AGATCGGAATCGTAGCAGGGTTTGTTAAAATTATTTGTTGATATTTTTGAAAATAACTGAACGCCGGTGCATTCTCGAAAAAGGCATATTGTTTTTTTGCTATAACCTTTGAATACTGAAACGGTAACGATTTCCCAAACCGGTAACGGAAGCACAAATTAACTAGCGGTATATGTTAGCTACAGGAAAACGAAACAACGAAAACAAACCCCCTTTATTATTAACGGAAAGAAAAATATCAACCCTTGAACTTGAACGGTGCGTGTCGTAAAATTAAAAAAAAACGGAATCGGCCTAAAACGCGAGCAAAGCGAAAAATGCAAAAGATCCCCTCTAAATCACTTCCCAAACACGAAGCTTCTTTATTTCATTTCTCGGGTTCTGGTCATTATAACTAACTGGGACAAATCTTAAAATTCACGTTAATTAAGCGCGCTTCATTTCATACTATTTGACACAACGTAATCAGACGAGGTTGGCTGCAACACATCTGATTAGCTACCGGTATTCAAGCTCGCTCAAATGGCCGGACTGAAATGTCCAAATTCGGTAATCCCCAGCAATGCCCATTGTTGAAATTTTCCGGGTCAAACGCAAAAGGTGTGCAATAATTAAATAAACTGCACGACCTTGCAGTTTTAATGGTATCTGTTATTAATGAATGAAGTGAACTGAAATCATAAAATATTAATGTTTCCCTCGCTTCAAATGATTTACATATATCTACGGGAACAATTAAAAACTTCGCAATTGTCTTCGGCAGCTGGTTTCCTTATCAGCGGTTAAAACTGGTCTATAAATTGAAACATTAGTTTTACTCACTGCTAGAAAATAATCTAGAATTTCTTGTAAGAAAGCGCCGTCGAAGTACCGGGTGTTCAATAAAGCTGGTAGCTTCCTTCAATGTACGGTGCGTTCATTAATTATGATATAATTCCTGTACGAAAACAAGTGCTTTGTTAACAGTTCTCAAATAGTTATAAAGGACCTAAGCAATCCATAAGAAGTTCTGGAAAGCGACGAAAGGCCCTGTAATTTGTCACATTTTTTTTCTAATTTTACCATTTATTTTAATTCCACTCGGTTTTCGTTTTGTATCTATTTAAACCTTTCAAACGTCTTTTACTGCTTTATTTTTACGCAAATATCTACCACGCCTTTTTCTTTTGAACCTCCCTGTGGGTGGTAAAAATGCATTTATGGGCATCTGATGCGAGATCATTGTTTGAAAAACGAGGAGGAAAATTGTCAGAAATTGATAGTAGAGGATGTATTAAAACAAGCAACAACATCGACGAACGGAAAAGAAAGGAAGTATATCGGAAAATTGCAACGTAGCATGTAAGAGGATTAAATGGGAACTCAGCAATGAATGCAGAATGACGTAAGGTAGATCAAAATATTCATTTATTTGCAGAAAAACCGCAATGAACCGGGATGAACTAAATTTTATTCCATCTCTCTTTGGTTAATGTCAAGATTAAATTGGTAGAGAAAAATATTCATTTGTTTACAAATTTCGTCAGAAAACTGCACTTTAATTTCATGAAGAACTAATTTTGAGCCATTTCTTTTGGTTAAAGTCGAAATTAAGTTGGTAAATCAAAATCGTCATTTATTTACACATTTCGTTGAAAAAACGACAAAACAGTTTGGTTTCATGGGAAGGAACACCCAAAAATACTGAAAAATACGAAACAAAAATTTAAAAAACAAAAATATTACATTATATTACAGTTTTTATTTTTTTTACTATTGCACGGTTTTGTTTCGTTTGGGAAGTGCCCTCCAGTGATTTCTGGCTCTTCGAAAACTACTTTAACCCCCTATTAACTTATGTCTCCAGAAGAATTTATTTTATACAGAGTATTACTCCACAAAATAATGTAAATAACCAGAAAACGTTAATGTTGAATAAAATAACAGTGCTAGGCTTTGTAATTTTCACAAAGATAAAAGGTAATGAGGGGTTGAAAAATTAACATGTAAAATCCTATGGCCAGTCTTTTAAAAAAAACCCACTATATATGCGCTATGGTAAAAGTAATGAATGAGGCGATTATTCATAATAGGCAGTGGATAATTGAGGCAAGGAAATATTTGATTTTTTTCAATTCACTATTTTCTTAGTTTCATAAGTGTCAGTAGTTTCCCTTCCCCTGAATTTTTATAAGGAAACACATTGACCGGTGATTATGAATAATCGCCACATTAATTGCTTTCACCATAACATATACACTGTGTCCGTGATAAGAATGTCTATCATATCTATCTCTGCAACTGTAGAAGATACAACGATGGTCAAATTAGGGAAAAGTTGTGCAATTAGAGACTTATTATCAGGCTGTAAAGCAAACTAGAAAATTCCGATTACTTGCGAAGATATACCACAACAACCAAAATTTGCCGATTTCGTTTTAATTATTTTCTGCTGTTATTTGAACGGGTACAAAAAAAAATTAAAAAAACGCTTTCCTATTGCCACTTTTTGTGCTCCTAGAAATCGGCAACTTTATTTATATGGCTTGTAAAAACGTACACACTGTATTGAGTAACATTTTTATTAATAATACAACGATATACGACATACGCAAAAAATAAGTTAGAAATTGTTAATTTCAACAGGATGGTGCACCCGCGCACAATCGTGCGAAAATACTTATCGTTCTTTTCTCCAAAAAAAATCGTCGTATCTTCTAGGGTTTCGCAGATCTCCATGATAGCACAGATTTTTAAATTTAAATCTGTGATGATAAGCATCCTACGTCACTCTAAAATTCAATGAACTGCTAACACTGCGACACTGCCGGCCTAACTTATTATAAAAAGGAGCGTAACTTCATTTTAAAATGTGGAATGAAAGAACAGTATTGTTCTTAAACACATCCCGAACCTGTAACCACCAAATTTCATGAAAATCCCATAAGAAACTTAAGGGAAATAGCGACCGAATTGAATAGTTTATTATAACCTGTTTTTGTCATTTTAAAGTAGACATAGGAAATCGCTATGTCTACTTCTAAATGAATAACACTGCATGTTGGAACTAATTTTTTTACATATACAATTAGTATGTGCCGCTAGCCTTAGCTTTTCATCAATGACTAGCCCTATAACGTAGTTAGCAACACTTCTGCTTTACCTTTAAATTTAAGATTAGGTCATTGGCTATACACCATGTAAAGGCCAGTTCATTTTTGCTCGCTAAAACTGCATCCAAGCTCTCTTGTTTCGAGAAAATATTGGAGTCATCTGCATAGCATGGAGAATACAGTCGGCATATAGATTCATATATTGGGTAAAAGCGTTGAAATAAATTAGAAACGGGCAACGGTCCTAACATGGATCCCTGAGGAACCCCTCGTTTGGTATTTAGCTATCGGATAGGATGTTTTCACTAATAACTTACTGAGAGATATAAGTTTTAAAGTATTTTGGTCGAAATTATAAATCCGTTCCAGTTTACTAAGTAATGTGCTATGTGAGACACTATCAAATGCTTTTGATAGATCTAACAATATTGCAAGTGAACAAAGACCTTCTTCAAAACAAGCGAGGGTGTTATTTACGAATTTGCTCAAAGGTTGGATTGTGCTTCGCCGTTTCCTGAACCCGTATTGTTCATTAACTTGTTAAATTCAAAATGCTATTTGATCATATGAAGTATTTTTTCAAAAATGTTTGAAAAAATATGCAGCATTGATATTGGCTTTTAGTGAAATGTCAAAAACCTTGTTTTTAATATCTTGTTTGAACTAAGAAGCTGTGATGTCAAGAATTTGGTACCTGATTTTAATTTTTTTTAAACTGTCGTGGTCCATCTTGTGGTTGGGGTCAAATGGTTTTTGTAATACCTATTCCACTTATTGGTGTGGTTTTATTTTTCTACTATATCCTGTTTTGTTTCTTCGTGTCGTAGAAATATTTATAAATAAAAAATAGGTTTTGCAAAAAGTGTTTTATCAAAATATTTTATTTATTGTGATTTCTTTTTTTGGCAGAACAATTTTACAAAAAAAATACAACAATGAATTGGCGCCTAGCACCATTTTTGTAACTATAAAGGAAAGGGGCATTTTTCCACGGGCGGTAATGTTAACGTTTACAGGGTTGCATATTACCATACATTAAATCAAGAACCAATTTTTTGATGCACGACAAATTAGCGACAATTATTGCAATGTTAAAAACAATGGAATGAAAACAACATTCCGATCTAGCGAAAGAACGGAAGATTGAGTAGGAAGTAATATAATTATTATTGGCGTGTCCAAAGATTTGTTAACACATCTCTTCATCGTTGGACGCGTACCTAATTTCTTAACAAGTATAAAGAGTGTTGTATTTTCATTGCTAATTACTTTATTGCCGTAATGAATAAATGTAAATAATTGGTTACAAAATCATTGCAATCGACGCATAGTTGGTTTATGCGCAAATTTCGCCATGGCTGTTATATTGTTTTTTTTATAGCCGAAACGGAAGACCACTTGGAAATGGCGTAGGGTAGGTGAAATATGGAACATGGGAAATTACAAAGAACTTCGGTGTATCGCAACTTTTTTTTTGTTGCTAATTAAGTACTTATTGTAAAAAAATGTTTTTCGTAATGGTTGGTCCGCTCTTGTCATGTTCTCACGTGCCCTTTTAACTTGACCAGTTTGGTCGCAAACTTATACAAATTCGGTAAAAGACGAAACGGGAGCGCCATTATCGTTAAAAGTACACCACTAAAAACCACTTTCTCCACTAGGCAAGGCCGCGGCGCTCATCAGCCTCCGAGGAAGTATACTTCTTTTTAGTTTACGGTCGCGTTTCCTTAACAATGTTGCTTTTGTGGAATGTGCTGTTTTTTCACTCGTTTTTACTGCTCGGCGGCATCAATTCCGCCACCCAATCGCACGTATACAAGAACGCGATAAACGATGGCGAGTGAATTTTTATTTTTAAACTGAAAAGTGCCAGCGAGTGACTTTACTAAAAGAAGAATTTTTTTGCAGATTGCCCAAATTGCATCGACGACTCGACGTCGCCCGCCTCCACACGGTGGACGATGCCTCTGTTAAAACTGGGCGATAAACGTTACTATTTAGGAATTTTCTTTAAGGTAAGGGCTCTTTTTGTACAGGAAACGTAAATCGCGAATGCGTGTAATGAAAAGTGAAATTTAATTAGAAAAAATTTTTCCTGGGGCAATCGGAATGTTATAACTTATAACATTCCTGATGCCATTAACGGCGGCGATTCCTTCGTGATGACTAAAATTTCGTAAGCAAAGGTCAAACCCTCACGAGCGGTAACTAGAGCCTCACTTTCAAGGGTTCTTAATTAACGCTTCGCAAGGTCGTGCAAAAGAAATTTTACTCGAAATGTAAACCTGTCGATTCGTGGCAACCGTTTTCTTTTAAACATGGAAAATCGCCACCGGTCTTGAAACGCTAATTAATGTTACGCACCTGAATTAGGTAAAGTTTTAATGCAAATTAAGTTTTCCGCAACTTCCTAGTGTTGTTTTAATACCGGAAATTAGGGCACTCGTTTAATTATTTTTTTAATGAGGCGATTTCAGTTTTGAATAATTTTTGTCACTGCATTGTTTTCGCAAATGGAGTGAAGTGTGTAATCTTTTCTAGTCTTTGAAAAAGAAGTCTTTGCTTCTAGAGATATGATTTAATTGTAAACTGGGCAGGTTGTGTGTCACGCGCTGGTAATTAACAAACGATTAAGTGGACTGTGTGATGAAACGGAAATCTTTCTCGTGCCTTTTCTAAAGAGGAAATTGAAGAGAAATGCACGCAAACAACTGATTATTAATTATGTACAAATAATATAATGCCAATGGTAAAGCTATATAAACTATTGGGTGTAACGGTAAGAGCGGCTCACTGTAAAATTTAGGACAAATAATTAATACTCTGCGGTCAAAAATGAGTTACCTTTGGGATTTTTGCTTACATGGGAAATCCTTAGACCATACAGTACATGGACTGCTATTAGCCCTATGCTTTCCATACAAATTGGGTGGTCACGGATAGGGGCACTGTAGTCAGGGTAAACTCAGTTAAAATCAAATTACAACGGGATGCACCCCCCCCCACCAAATTCTATCAAAGAATTTCTATACTACACGCTAAGTAATTAATAATATCAAAGCAAATTCTAAATTAGCAAAGCGCTCAATTTAACTAGCGGATGCTTAATGACGCCGAAGTTACCGGGGTGCAATTGTTGGATGTGACCAAGGCTCCATTTTAGAAAAGGCGTGCCTATATCGGCCGGTAAGAGTTTTCTATGTAGAGCCCAATAAGCTTTTTTGATACAAGATATACAGAGTGGCCCAACGAGAAGTATACAGAGGGCTTTTAGGGTATTAAATTTAGAAATTTCGAAAAATCATCGAACACGTCAATTTTATATTCGAGGGGGACAACTTTTGGAATACAAATCACGAACCCAAGTCTTCACCCCTCTACGTAGGGAGTTTAAGCCCTAAAATTTTAAATGGAATCCTATGGCAAATGGCACATTATTTGAAAGCCAATTTAATCGTGATTACTAATCTGGTTTGCTTTTTAAATTCTATTGATTCCTTTCGGAGATATTCGCATTTGAAATGGTTTTTTTCCCCTGATTTAAGTCCTTTAGATTACTTCTTGTGGGGATATTTAAAGAATAAAGTTTATGCTACTCCGCCCGGAACATTACAAGGGTTGCGAGCACGTATAACCATAGTGAAAGAATAGAATGGTATAACTCAACAATTTCGAGCGATTACCCCTGAAATCTTGCAACATGTACGGCAGCGTTTTGAAGCAAATCTTTATTATTGCATGGAAGCAGGCGGAAGGCAATTCGAGCATTTATTGAAATAAATGTTGTGTGTTTAAAGTTATTTGTTATTTTTTGCACAATTTAAACTTTTTTTAATACAAGGTGACTTAGATCGCATTTGTTTTGGTTTTTTTAGAAAAAAACATTTCAAATGCAAATATCTCCGGAACGAATCAATAGAATTTAAAAAGCAAAGCAGATTAATAATCACGATTAAATTGGCTTTCAAATAACGTGCCATTTGCCATAGGATTCCATTTAAAATTTTAGGGGTTAAGCTCCCTACGTAGAGGGGTGAAGACTTGGGTTCGTGATTTGTATTCCAAAAGTTGTCTCCCTCGAATACAAAATTGACGTGTTCGAGGAATTTTCGAAGGTTAGAGATGCGAGGTCGGCAGATGCGAAAGATCAGAGTCAGGGGGGCCGACAAAGGTTCCATCAGTGTCAAAAAATGACTAGGGGTAACTGGTGAGACTATTCAAATCATTAGCGTCAGTACAGGACAAAGAGGTCTTGAATTTAAAATAGCTTCTATTTCACTTGTAACAGTGTTAAATTAACTAGCGTACCTACTTGCAGAAACCGTTTTTTGAAAATTCCTCAATCAAAAAATACTCATGGTCTTTTACAAAGAAAAGAATAGTTGTTCACGACTAGCTGTATGGAAGAAGCTTTGGTATCTGATAGCAGTGCTACTGAAAAGCTGTTAAATTCCCTTTTTTTTTACTTCAAACTCAGTTTTTTTGAAGTTTGATTTCTGATTTCTTGGTTAACAAACACTAAAGATTCCACAACGTCAACAAGTGTATTGAACAAATAGAATAAATTTGATCTAAACATTAAATGGATGCGTAATGGAATTTTTCGGTTATTAATTCGCCATGGTCTTTAGCTATAAATATTAAATTCTAATTGGTATAAATAATAAGAACAAATTTGAAAACATTGTAATGGCCTGGCTGGTTTATGTGCCGCAACATAATGGTTCCCGATCCAAGAAATGAGTAAATTAAATTAAACATTTGCGGTGCACGAACTGTCAAAGGCACGAACCGACAAAGTTTAGATCTTTGTTAAGTTTTCTGCAATTTTCCAGTTTTTCTTTCCGTAAGAACCTTCTGCATAGTATTAGAAAACTTTTAAAAAAGGTTGATGAAATAGATACATTCGTTCTAAAGTTATGGCGTGGCCAAGGAAATAGGTATTCATTTAATATTCAGTAACATTTATTAAAAAGTAGTCAAGATTTACGTGGATTGTTTTTCCCTATGTCTACTTTTAAATGAAAAAAACTCTTCTGAAAGCTGCCTAATTTTATGAATCAAAAATAAAGCTCTGGCTGTCATATTAATTAAATGAATGCCTTTACTTTGGCTTCACAGAAAATAAATGTCTTACGCTCCTTAAACTGTTACCGGCACTATACCAATTGACAATATTAACTTTTTCGTCAATTGAATACATCGCACACTAACGAAAATGAAACTACGGAAGTCAGAGGAAAAATATTCAAACTAATTAATATGATAGCTAGATCTCTATTTATTTTAAAAAGTTATTTTGGTTGCATAAAATTGGGTGCCCTTCAAAAGAGATTTTGTCATTTAAAAGTAGACATGTCCCTATGTCTTCTCCTTATTAAATATCACTGTATAGAGATTACCAGAAAGCATTTTGTTGCGTTTTGTAACTTATTTATGGCATAATCTAGGCTAATTGGTCACTCCACAAACTTGTGACTTTCAAAAAAGGAAAAGTTTCATTCTAAACGAACTGCAGCGAACATTCCAGAATTATCGAGACGCCATGAACGATTAGTCATCGGCGATAAAGGACAAACGCGAATGTGACGTAATCTTTCCGGGAAATATGACGTATTTTTTCTAGAATAGTCACGACCGCTCGGGAACAGTCGACTTTATTATAGAAGCAAATCGGATTGCGTTACATGACAGTTCCTCTTTCGACGCCGAAATACTAAGGTATTAATTGTGTATTCGTGAGTGATCAATAATATTTTACTGTTATAAAGGAATGCATTTCAAGACTGTTATAAATTTATTGTTAATTAATTAATTGAGCTTCAATAGGTAGTTCATCATCAAACGTACAGAGATCTTTTTTACACATAATACCTTTTTACGCTATCTGTTAAAACACTCGAAAATTTCAGTGGTTATCGAATGTCTTATAGCGTGAAATTAATTCATTGCGTAAAGCCTCTAATTGCCAGCGCTTCGCTATTTACGTGCCCCGAATTTCGTTTAATAAATACGCGTGTAAAATTTTGCTGCTGATGAATTGCTCCGCTAAAACCCTAGCGGATATCTTATAACTTTTCAAATCACGAATTTTTATTTCTTCCGTGAAATCTACATGAAAGTCACATTTCTTCCGTGAAATCTACATGAAAGTCACATTGACTGCAAAATGACTACGTTGGAAAAATTACTGAAACTTCCTGGGGTGATCTAAACTCAATTCAAACGCGAGTTCTACTCCAACTACAACCCGAATGCCTTCGAAGAACTCTCTCCGAAATCATCCCTCCAATCCGTACTGATTCGTTAACACCTACAAAGTGGCGCCTTTTTAATGAAAACGGCCATCTTTATTCTCCGATTCGTTTCTTTTGTTCCTGCCCTACGAATTAAATGCTAAGCTAAGGTAATAAGTAGAGTGCGGATAAATATGCATTTATTTTTATAAAATAAGCGCTTATTATATGCATCAAAACGGGCAAAAAAGCTTAAAAAAGGCAAAGTAAGCAAACAAATGCACAATCAACCATCCACACAAAAAAAACCTGGTTTTCTCAATAAAACATGATTATGATTAAACTAACTCTAATTATCGGAAAAACAATTAACAATTATGTATTTCTCCAAACTTGCAATTAAAAATTTTGCCTTCGGTCCGATAAAATATTTTTATAGACTTTTGGAGATTTTCGAAAAAATATGAAAACCAGAATTTTTTGTGAACTATATCGGCTATGGGACCGTTTATCTTATTTGTGTCTCTTTGAAAATCTACGATTTTAATTGATTCGTCATGTGGCAAATTTTGAGATTCTAATTCTTTATTAAAAAAATGCAAATCCCAACATTATTGCCCACATTAAGTTAATATGCGAGATATTATTCTAATCTCAGTGTAGAAATGTAAAAAAAGCAAGAAAAAGCGTTTAAAGGCATTTAAAGCACCATTGTTAAAAAAAAGCAAAAAAAGGCAAAATAAAAATTGCCTCAAACGCTTTCTTTTTTCATGAAACGT